GCTTGGCTTTGATGGACCCTTTTGTATCAACTTCTTTTTTGATCGAGCCTCGCAGTGGTTTGCCCCAACATTCGAATTTTGAAAGACATGCCCCTCAATCTCCAAGATCCGGAGGAAGTATCCTTAGAAGGACCTTAGACCTTTCCATGAACTTGTCATAGGTTGCCCCAAGTATTTGAAGCTTTGAAAAGTTTGTACTCGAAGTTGCTTGAAGAATTTGGACCCTACGTGCAGTAGGATGAACTTGATACGCACTGCCCTAACATTTAATTCTTAGAAAACTTCCCCTGATCATCAATTCCTTGAGAAACATGTTAACATGAGGAAACAAAGTCATACCCTATTGTGATATGACTTGACTAAGGAATGTTTCTTTGAAGGGTATGCCCTTAATTGAACAATGCTTTGAAATTTGATCCAAATTGATTGAACCTCGGAATGCTCACCTCTTGTCAACAATATCTTCATGTGATATACCCCTATGATCATTAGTCTATGCCCTTGTTTATAGGGATCCCCTTAGATGCTTTTGCCCCAGTTAGGAGCTTCTTGGAAAGGATGGCCTTTGATCAGACCTTCTTGAAATCTCTTTGATGCTAAGTATTGATTCGTAGATAAAATTGTACATTTTGAAAAAGTAATTCCATTTGATGCACATGCAAGCTTTGAAATTGAAATTGATTATTTGAAAAGAAATAGAAGATTAGAAGATGAATATTTGAAGCGAAGTAGTTAGAAATGATTTTAACAAACATAGGAGTCAGTTTAACACAAATCTTGTTGGGTATGCTTTCATAGTGAACCTAGCCTCAATTAGGACTTTTGAAGGTTATAACGTGGTCATGGTTCGTGGTTTAGGAAACAAAAGATATAAGGCTCAAAATTTATTTAGCCCACCCCATTCTCCATGATGTTCTCCAATCCTAAATTCAATTAATGCAACAAATTCGTTTAATCCCCACAAGAAGTTTTGTAGTCGCGCAGATGGTGAGAAGCGTAGATAAAGATCCATGCACCTATGAAAAGTATTGATAAGATCTGAGCATTGATAAGATTCAAGCGAGCATAAGATTCAAGCGAGCATAAGATCCAAGCGTTGATGAGAATCCTTGATGATTCTTGAAGTGGCAGTCACAAGATTGTTTTCCAATTTATTATTTTCAATCCCTTATTTTTGCATGGACCGATTTTTTGAATTTTTTTTTTAATTTGATCCATCAGGATGCCCTAACTTTTGCCCAGGTCAAGTTTTTTTTTGCCTTGACTTAGCGGGCTTTCACCTTTTTTTAATTTATTTTTTTCGCTTTTGGTTTTGAAAATTTGTGACTACCATGCTGATTGTTGTAAGCTCCGTCTTCATTGTTTCTTCGATCTTGATTGATGTGTTGAGGAAGAAAGACGGTGTGGAGTTTTATTTTTTATTGATTCCTCAATCTTGGATGATGAATGCGGGGAAGATAATGTGCTCGAATCTTTGCTTAGATCGTTCTCTCAATGATGTATCGAGGAAAGAGATATGCTTAAACCTTTGCTTAGATCATTCTCTCGATGATGTATCAAGGAAAGAGATACATTTGAACCTTTGCTTAGATTGTACCGATTCTCCTGGGTTTTAAATGCATCATTGAATTAATTGAAATATACCCTGCTCCTGGTTAAGATTAAGGTTTTTTTTTAGAATAGAAAGAACTCCGACTTCTGGCACGAGGGGGTTAACTACGGATTAACTCCTTATATCTCCATTGTTTAGGAATTGAAACAATGCCTTACATCGTCAGCTAAGCCTTATTATTAAAAAGCATACATCAGAAAAATTTGATTATTTTGTAATTTCATCATTCTTTGTCAAAGTTTGTTAATTTGAAAATGGAAAAGAAGAGCGAGAATGGAAAGTCGTTGATTATTCGTGGAATGAATTGATTTCAAAAACATGCATGCTTATTTTAATAGAATTACGTGACCAAAGAGTACAAAGTGTATAACAAATAAAAATTAGCAAGAAAGAAATTACAGTTTGAAATGATAAAGGCCTAATGATCTAGAGATAAGCCTTCTCATTGATCTACTGACTTCAGGAGATGCTTCGTAGTTTTTGGACTTGTCAGAGCATGGGGTGACCCTTGACTTTTATCGGGCATACAAAATCCATTGATAGGGAAGTTGATGTTGATGTAAAGGAATCATCAATGTTGGTGGCAATTGAGGCACTATGTAGGCCTGTAGTTGTCATGGTGAAGGGATGCCTTCTCTCTCCAATAAGATTTATAGGACCAAGCTCCTTTTAATCTCCAACGTTTGACCTTTCCTTCACCAATCTAAGATTTTCTTGAAAAGCTTGGACTTTGCCCTTGAGCACCGGGGAATTTGTTAGCTGGATTGATAGCGATTAAGGGCAAAGGTGGAAATACATGACATGAAAATGTATGGATGTATGTAAATGCATGGGTATGCAAAAATATTTTTTTGGCTTTAAGGGTATGCAAAAAATTTTATGTAGATGAAATGCAACATGGACATAATATGAGGGTAGACATAGGGGGTATCCTATACAGGTTTGAAGATGATATCCTACTCTGACTCAGAAATTGAGACATGCAGGGACTCATTACGGATGAAGATGATAATAGACATAGATTTGATGATTTCCTAAACTGTCTTAGAGATTGAGACAAGTAGGAATACCTTGCGAATTATGGCCAATGAGGAGTCCCTACAGGATAGGGATGATGATATAGATGGAAGCCCTACGGGCTAAGGATAGTAGTGGATGAAGGGATAACCTTTGCAGGTTTGCAGATTGTAGTGGGATTTGTGAAAGGTATCCTTAGAAGGTAGGTTCTTAGTATTGGCCTACGGATATTCTACCCTCCCCATAAGGTGGTTTCCTTAAGGGTGTCATGAATAACGCTAGAGGAAAAGGCATAAGGGCCTCCCTTAAGCGGAGTCTCTTTACATACCGAAACTTTCGCCTCTAGGTCATGAAAGGTCTCATCACGAGTTTTTGGTTTAAAGGTCGTACAAAGAGTCATATGTATCATTCCAAAGTCCTAATTCCCAAGAGGATGTCTCTCGAGAGGTATTCCTTTTGCGAAACTCCACTGACTCTCGGAGAAGTCGTCACATAAACTCATAGGGTTGATGTAATAGATGAACCTTCTTTCTAAGGGTTTTTAAAAATATTTTTTTTGCGAAAATTAAATCCCACCACAGATAAATAAATATAATGTATAGTATTAAGAAATAAGCAAGAAATAGATAAATAAAGTGAAAATAAAGAAAAACCAAAAATATAAGGAAACCCTAAAACCTAAAGATAAGCTCCTAAACCTAGGGTTGAGTCCCCAGCAAAGTCGCTAGCTGTTGCAACTGGTTTTTTAATTAGAGTCGCCACCCTTAATTTTTATCCTAAGGGAAGGGAGTATAAAGGAATAACCTTAAAGTTTAGAGATTCTAGATTTGGACCCGGTTCTAGACGAAGGGAAGGTGTTAGGCACCCCTTATCTATCTTGTTCACACGGATACTAGGTTTAGAAGCATTATTTTTAAGAAATAAGGTAATTACTAATAATAAGGGAAAAGGGTTTGAATTTTAGTTAGGGGGACTCGCCACGATTTTTGATCGTATGCCTACGTATCCTCTTAGGAGGAATCAAAGTCTCATTTCATAGTTCGCGGATTGTTTTGTATTTTTTATGGATTACGAAATATATTTGAATTTCCCGCGTACGTAGTCTAAGAGTGTGAATGACAGAGTTTGTTAGACCAAGTGCGCAGTTAATTTAAATATATTCGTATTCCTTTCCGAAAATTAATTATTCGAATTAATTCGATTTGCAAAAAAAAAGATTTGATGTTTGGTTGAATATTTTTTATACTTAGAGCGAGGGAGCATGATATAGTCTCCTTATCACATGGTCAGATATTGACCACGTGTCATTCGCGGATGATGAATTTGGCGAGTTGCGTGGATTTTAACATCTTTGTAAAAATATCGAATTAATTTAATTGCAAAAATAAGTTTGAAATTATGTGCAAACTAATTTTATCCAAATATATATATATATATATATATATATATATATATATATATATATATATATATATATATATATATATATATATATATATATATATATATATATATATATATATATATATATATATATATATATATATATATATATATATATATATATATATATATATATATATATATATATATATATATATATATATATATATATATATATATATATATATATATATATATATATATATATATAGTGCTTTAGGTTAATGATTAAATTAATCAAATCTAACTAACAAAATTAATCTAACTAATAAAATCTAACTAATAGAGAGACTAACATAAATAATTAAATTAAATTAGTTAAGCTAAAGGGTGTAATAGAAGTATGGAGGTGTGATTAGTAATTAGAAATTATGGTCATAAGCCCAAAAAGCCTGATTACAAAATCCTAATTTCCAAACTAATAATAAATAAAATAATATAATATAAAAATAGGAAAAAAGAAAACAACAATAAGAATGAAAAATAATGTTACAGTGATATAGGGCGCTGCATAAATTGTTTCATCAATGGTCCCTTTGACTTTTCATAATTATGTATCCACCAATTATGTCTTGATATTTAGCATTTGGAATAATAAGAATAAAAAATAAAACACACATAATAGAAGCTATAACCTGGGACAAAAAATAAAACGCATAAGGGAGTCTTTCTATCTCTCTTCGTCCCTTTTCGTCTTCTCGCTTATTTCACAGTTTTGCTTCATCTTTATCCTTTTCCATCTTAATCTCCTTCTCTCTCACTTTTACCTATTCAAATCTTCAAAATAAAACCCACAAACAAGAATATAAAAAATATAAAATCAAGAGGAAAGCTTGTGGTGGTGTTCGAAAATAAAAGGGCGGGCGGAGGTCGCGAGGAGGAGGGCCGGCAAAGAGACTAGATATTGCGAGTTCTAAGGCAACGATGGATGAGATCTGAGCGGTTGTTATTGGTGTGTCGTTGTTGGTGGCTCGGATCGCGTGAACAGGGGTGTCACGCGATTTGGAGAGGTAGCTCTGACGGTAGAGGTTACAGATGGTGGCGGTGGAGTGAAGTACAGAGAAAAGATAGTGAAGCAGTAATTATTTTTTCTTTTTGTACTGTAATTGTTTTTCTCCCTCTCTCTCTCTCTTGTACTTGTCCCTGTACTGTTTTTGTCCGGCCCTTTTCCTTCCATTTTGTTTTGATTTTATAGCTCTTAGGTGTTGTAAATTAGGAAGTAGATAAATTTGTCTGTAAATTAGTTTTGGAAACAATGAAATGTGTCTGCAAATTAATTCTTAGAATTGATTGAGTTTTATGCCTTAGGAAATATTTTGAATCTTTTGTCTGTAATTTAAGAGCTTTGCAAAAATGTTTCTGTTTCTCTAATTGATTTTTTTCCCCAGGTACAAACATGAGTTCATTACTTACGATTCGTACAGCAAAAAAAAACCCTACGTTGCTTGCTTTTTTTTTATTCATACAGAACCTATTATAAAAATAAACAACAGGTGTTCCTTATTGAATTGGGCTATACGATTAATCCATCGTTTAAAAAAAAAATCATGAATACAACTTCAAATAATAATAATAATAATAATAATAATAATAATAATAATAATTGATTAAAATGATAATAATAATAATAATTACTAATGATAATAGCATCAATAGTATTAATAATAATTATAGACTTAAAGTCAGATATTGACTTTAGTTTAATTAATACAATAAAAATAATTTTAACAACATAATTTAATTATATAGCTACAAAAATATTAATAAGAACTATAATACTGATTTATTGTACAACAAATAATGATAATAGCAACAAATATTTTAAAAAAAATGGGCTTCAAACCCTATTATTGGGCCATAGAATTAATTCAGATTTTGTAAAGCCCGCACACCTATTCTTCTTATAATACACCCATCTCTTAAACTTGAAACAAATTTTAAGACTTAATGGACCATCAGATATTGATGGTCTATTTTACATCAACACACTCCTTTGACTTTAAATATCCCTATAAAGGTGAAAACTAAATAATAAAATTTATTTGAAGAAAACCCTAGATTAGGGTAGGGAAAATTTGGGGTATGACAGTTGCCCCTATTTAATCATCTTTCGATTGAATAGTGCAAGAATACGCAGGTCTCGCGCGTTTAATCGGAAGTTTATTAAATATTAGAAAACCCCAAGATTTGTTCGAGCTAATATAAGAATACGTTGTACAACATTCTTATGAGTGTGAATAATAGGCATAGATGATGATGTATCATCTTACCAGCGTTTGGACCAAAGTGGGTTAGAATCAAGACTCGACAACGCAGATAACTCGTCGGTATCTGAGAGATTGTAAGATTTTGCTTATTTACCATAACCTAGGAGGTAAATGGTACGAGTTTAAAAAGCTGATTTACTAATGCTGGGAGACTAATATAGTAAATTTGTGACGTAAATTTCGTATATTCAACGCAACCTAGGGGATGAATAACATAAAGCTTGATAACACATTGCTGCATGGAGACTGATGCAATGGATTTACACAAATTTAGTTATGTTTACTACAATATAGGGAGTAAACAGTACAAAGATGAACCTGTGCATTTATCACAACCTAGGGGATAAAAGACAACAGGGATGGGCTTACGTTATCCACCGCAACCTAGGGGGTGAATAATATAACCTTGAAGATTCGCGTATCTATCACAAACTAGGGGATATATAATTGAAAAAGTTTAAAACCAGATATTTGGAACTTGGAATGACGATGTTAATTGTGTCAGCCCTCAACCAAGATTCGATAACCAAATGCAATATGCTAGATTTGAAGCGATGGAACCCAAAGTTCACTGATGAGGTTAGTTGTGTTGTCTCAACCATGATCATCAATGTAAAGAAAATAAACCCCAAATTCATGATGATATCAGTCGTTTCGTCTCAACCATTATCAACATGAAGGAAATGAACCCAAAATTCATGATGATATTGGTCGTGTTATCTCAACCATTATCAACATGAAGAAAATGAACCCCAAATTCATGATGATATTGGTCGTGTCGTCTCAACCATTATCAACATGAATAAAATGAACCCCAAATTCATGATGATATTGGTCGTGTCGTCTCAACCATTATCGTCAATGTAAAGAAAATAAACCCCAAATTCATGATGATATTGGTCGTGTCGTCTCAACCATTATCAACATGAAGGAAATGAACCCCAAATTCATGATGATATTTGTCGTGTCGTCTCAACCATTATCAACATGAAGAAAATGAACCCCAAATTCATGATGATATTGGTCGTGTCGTCTCGACCATTATCAACATGAAGAAAATGAACCCCAAATTCATGATGATATTGGTCGTGTCGTCTCGACCATTATCAATATGAAGAAAATGAACCCCAAAAGAATTTGCCATCTTAACCAGAGTAGCTTTGCAAGATGCCATGTATGAATAATGTCCTAAACTGATATGTTATTCGAGTGTGATGTATACCCTAAATGTTTGTATGTATATGCTTTTGATCGATATTTTTTTTTGGTAAACCAATTGGGTTCTCATAGTCACCAACTCCTCGACAGTGTTGTCTGCCCTTATTGTATCTCCAAGTGGATTTGGATTTGGTGAGAGATGTCTGCAAGATCTTAATGTCTGTATCGTAGACGCATGCGTAGGTATGGACGTGGACGTTGGTGTAGTCATGGACGTAGGCATGTGCGTAGAAATAGGCGTGGACATAGGTGTGGACGTGGAAATAGGCTTGGTCATGGACGGGGACAAGGACATTGGCATAGTCGTAGACGTAGGCATGTGCATAGAAATTGGCATGGACATGGGTGTAGGCATGAATTTTCCTTCGCTATTCTTCTAACCAGAATAAACTTTGATGATTTATCAAATGCGCTTCGGTGTTTCTGTATGTTAGATGAACCAAATGTTGCAAATGATCTTGAGATTTTACGTACATCATGCTTGATGTGAGGCTCTTAGTGGGAAGTCTGCTGCCAAGATTTCCAAGGAATATACTATCGAGATTCTGTCGAAAGATTACCTCCTGCCAAGGTTTTCTTGAAAATCACCTTCCGTGATCAACCAGGGGAATCTACTTCCGAGATTCTGTTGAAAGATTACCTCCTTTCGAGGTTTTCTGGAAAATCACCTACCGTGATCAACCAGGGGAATCTACTACCGAGATTTTGTTAAAAGGTTACCTCCTGCCTAGGTTTTCCAAAAAATCACCTGCGGTGATCAATAAGAGGAATCTACTGCCAAGATTTTATGTAGAATTGGTAGCTTGATTGCCGATGATGATTGCCTTCACATAAAACAAGGTTTCATGCTATGCGTGCAAATTTGATTGGTGCATGGAATGTAATGATTGATTGATGCATGTAATGATTGATTGATGTATGTAATGATTGATTGACGCATGAAATATGATGATTGATTGATGTACGTAATGATTGATTGATGCATGAAATGTGATGAATGACTTGGATATATGTAAATGGATCTTGGACTTTGAAATGCGAATGCGTAGTTAGGCTTTTTGAGATACGCTGGACCCATGCTGTTGGAATACGTAGATGAATGAGATGATAGTATGGCTTGGTTTTGGATCTAGGAGCCCTAATGCATGATTTATGCAGCATTATGCTTTATGATTATGAATTGGATATTTTTTGAATGGTGCCCCTGTGATGGGTTGTGGATGATTAAAACATGGAGGTTTGTTTATGCAACAAGTTTGCTTGTCACATTATGGTTGAGTGTTATGCTTGCATGATTCCCTGATACTTGTTTCGAACTCGAAGATTGCTGACGTAGAAGAGAGGTCCACCGGAGGTTTGTGAAAGTATGAAGAGAGCTTGCTTTTGTATGGACTGTTTTTCCTAATTTGTTGGTAGGGTCCTGGAGGAGATTATCTTTAATATGAGCTTGGAAAAAGTTTGATCATAATGTGAATGAACCCAATATTTTGCATTATTCCCCTGATTAAAAGACTCCTGAAAAATGCTTGGCTTTGATGGACCCTTTTGTATCAACTTCTTTTTTGATCGAGCCTCGCAGTGGTTTTTCCCAACATTCGAATTTTGAAAGACATGCCCCTCAATCTCCAAGATCCGGAGGAAGTATCCTTAGAAGGACCTTAGACCTTGCCATGAACTTGTCATAGGTTGCCCAAAGTATTTGAAGCTTTGAAAAGTTTGTACTCGAAGTTGCTTGAAGAATTTGGATCCTACGTGCAGTAGGATGAACTTGATACGCACTACCCTAACATTTAATTCTTGGAAAACTTCCCCTGATCATCAATTCCTTGAGAAACATGTTAACATGAGGAAACAAAGTCATACCCTGTTGTGATATGACTTGACTAAGGAATGTTTCTTTGAAGGGTATGCCCCTAATTGAACAATGCTTTGAAATTTGATCCAAATTGATTAAACCTCGAAATGATCAACTCTTGTCAACAATATCTTCATGTGATATACCCCTATGATCATTAGTCTATGCCCTTGTTTATAGGTATCCCCTTAGATTCTTTTGCCCCAGTTAGGAGCTTCTTGGAAAGGATGGCCTTTGATCAGACCTTCTTGAAATCTCTTTGATGCTAAGTATTGATTCGTAGATAAAATTGTACATTTTGAAAAAGTAATTCCATTTGATGCACATGCAAGCTTTGAAATTGAAATTGATTATTTGAAAATAAATAGAAGATTAGAAGATGAATATTTGAAGCGAAGTAGTTAGAAATGATTTTAACAAACATAGGAGTCAGTTTAACACAAATCTTATTGGGTATGCTTTCATAGTGAACCTAGCCTAAATTAGGACTTTTGAAGGTTATAACGTGGTCGTGGTTCGTGGTTTAGGAAACAAAAGATATAAGGCTCAAAATTTATTTAGCCCACCCCATTCTCCATGATGTTCTCCAATCCTAAATTCAATTAATGCAACAAATTTGTTTAATCCCCACAAGAAGTTTTGTAGTCGCGCAGATGGTGAGAAGCGTAGATAAAGATCCATGCACCTATGAAAAGTATTGATAAGATCTGAGCATTGATAAGATTCAAGCGAGCATAAGATTCAAGCGAGCATAAGATCCAAGCGTTGATGAGAATCCTTGATGATTCTTGAAGTGGCAGTCACAAGATTGTTTTCCAATTTATTATTTTCAATCCCTTATTTTTGCATGGACCG